AAAAAAAAGAAAGAATAATTTGGCCTCACTGAGCTTGTGCTCAGCACAGCCGCCTTGTGCGAGGCTGGACCCAGCGGCATCTGCTCCCTTGGTGAGTGGGGTAGGTGGCAGGGCAGTGCACCCCCAGCCTCAGGGGCTTCCTTCTCTTGGGGGTGGAGGTTCTAAGTGACACCGTGTATTAACTCATAAATACTGGCTTTTCTGGACATTGGCTCTGAGCGTAGTCTGTCAGTGTCCAGATGTGATAAGTGGTAATTTCTCCTGGGAAAGCTAAAAATATTTTCTGCAAGTAAATGCTGCCTGTGACGTAATGAGGAGAGCACTGGCTTCAGGGTAGTATGGGCGCAGGTTGACTTTCTGTCTGTGCTGCTCCCTGGGGTGCAATTGTGGGCCAGTTGCTTGCCATCCCTGAGTCTTCATTTCTTCATCTGCAAAATGGGCTCCTAATGGTTTCTGCCATTATAATGAAGGGTAAGTGAGAGCTCCTGGTTAAGACCCTGGCATGAGGGTGAGGCACACGTGGACACTCAGAAAACGTTAGATCCTTTTCTTTCCCAGGACTTGTCTGCTGGATCAGGGCCACTCATTTGAAGGGTGTCTGGGTCAAGGTGAGATACTGAGTAGAAGAGAAAGAACAGAAGGAGGAAAGTTAAGGTACTGGAATGTAGGGCATCGTGCTGGTGAAGCACCGACTTCCAATTTTAATACAGACTTTTCAGCCATTATGCGCAGGTCTCTACCGAGCTCTGTGAAGATAGTTGTTCAATGGGAATTCTTCCCTTGCTAAGGAAACACAGAAGTAGATTAGGAAGAAATAAATAATTAAGGCTGTTTTCTCGTTTGTGAAGAATTGTGAGATCTATATTAATAGCTTCATTTGTGTTCCCTTTGAATGATAATTTATGAAAGTCCTAGCTTCTCTGTAAAAAGAGGTTTGTCTCCTGTTACATAATTGTGTCAAAGTAGATTAAAATGTAAAACTAGGCAGGCTTCTGTCTTGGCATACGTGGAAACGTCACGGTGAGTGTGGCAGAGTGTCGTTCTGCTCCCAGGTAAACGCCACACCAGTCAACAGCCCGTTCTGAGAAGGAGTTCTATTTTAATCTTCCATTGCATTTTGTAATCTATCTTGTTAATCTTGTTATTTCCTTAGAATTTTCTCCTTTTCATTTTGCTGTGTCTGAAAAATTCTAAAATGATAGTCCCAGCTGTGTTTTCCCACAGAGCTGTTCTTCCAGTCTGTTGAAAGCCAGGGAGACCCTTTCCCTCTCTAATCATAAACTCAGGGTCCGTGCTTTGTGAGACACGTCAGGGGTTGCTGTGTGGGCCCAGCCGAGCAGCAGGAGGCTGGGAGCTCCGGTGAGTTGTGCTGGAACAGTTGCCTCCCTGAGAGAAATAATGTCCAGGGGCAAATTAGAAGTCTGAGGGTGGACAGCCGGGAGGGGAACTGAGGAGGCAACTTCTTGCCTCTGTTGCTCTGGGGTAAGTGAGGAAGTGGGGTCTGAGCTAGAGGGTAGGGGCCCTGGAATCTTGTCAGAGAACCTGGAAACCAGGCCCCATTCAGTTCAGACTGTTGGAGCTGAGCACGTAGTTCCCAGGTGCTGGATGTCTCCTGGGTTTGGACTTTTCATTTCCCTGTCTTGGGAGTTTTGATGTGTTGTGAAGGTGGCAGCTGTTTTTGTGGCTCTTTACATTCTATAGCCTTTTCCTCTCTCTATAAGCACCAGAAGGTCTCAATAGACTGTTATCAAGGCAGAGTGTTTCTTATCCTTTTAGAGACGTCTGTGTGCTAGAGAAGCACTAGAGTTGTGGACATTTTAATTCATTTCCCTGTTGATTCTGACAGTCACTGGTCTTTGGTTAACTGGTTTTCTGTCCTGGCATGCTGGATTCGGTTGTGGGGACATCGGGGCCAGTTCACAGCAGATGGCCTTTTTACCCTCACCACGTCCCAGAGGTGGCTCATCCTCAGAAGGTGACTTGAAGCATCCCTGTTGTCCTTTGGCAGTTTGGAAACACATGCTACTGTAACTCCGTGCTTCAGGCGTTGTACTTCTGCCGGCCGTTCCGGGAGAACGTGCTGGCGTACAAGGCCCAGCAAAAGAAGAAGGAGAACCTGCTGACGTGCCTGGCGGACCTCTTCCACAGTATCGCCACGCAGAAGAAGAAGGTCGGCGTCATCCCGCCAAAGAAGTTCATTTCGAGACTGAGAAAAGAGAACGGTGAGTGACGTGCCAGGTGACGTGTGTGAGGCTCTGCTCCAAAATAAGGAGAATTGACGCGTCTGTGTACCCAGAAAAGCCAGAGGGGTTTGTTTGTTTGTTTTTTTTTAAGGGAAATAAGTATGATCAACTCCTCAAGTATCATTTGGAAAGAATGTTATTTCTTCTCTACTCAGTACACATAAAACTGGGCAGTAACTATTTTAGAATGCAGATCTGTCATCCCATTTTATAATGATCTTTTTATTTGCTGCATTCTGGGTGGGATCATTGTAAGAAAGAAAAGAGTCCGAGACCACCTTCTGAGTGGGACACTCATTGGAGAAAGTAGATTGGTGCAGTAATTAAATAAACTGTGTGCTGTTTTATAAACTTGTCATAAGTGACTAAAGTAAATGCATCAGAGCCTCTACTCTTAATAATACCTCTGATTTTTATTTACCTAAGATAATGAAAGGATATCAGATTGATAGCTTGATAGGATAAAAAGTACCCCACTATTTTTGGCTTTCCATCTTTTTTGCGGGAGTGGTGGTAGAAACAAGGTGCGTATTCCAGAAGTCTCGTGTTGGTAATTGTTATGACTATAAAAAATATTTGATTATGGCAAGTAGTATGTGTCCCAGATTCAGCCTCGCTCCACCCGACTTGCACAGTGAATCAGATGTTTATCTTCAAAAGTCCTGTTTGATTGCTATCTTTAGAAGTTGTTAAAGTTGGGTAGAGAGTGGAGCAGAGCACTCTGGGTCTAGTCCTGAGCATGGCTAGTCATGAGGTCTCACAGCCGCGCTCGTCTCCGATGTTTCTCCTCATGGCAGGGAACAGCAGCAGGCTCTGGAGTCCGTGTGTTTGGTTTCAGAACACTGTCAGATAGACACCTGCTCACACGTGCTCCTCATCTCCCATCTGTGTTTCATTTGAGCTGCTCGCAGGCTGGCAAGGGCTTACTGTGATCTCTGAGAAGAGACCCCCAGTTGCTGTGGATAAGCTACCCAATGAATAATTGATCACTGGTGGTTACTTGATATTAAAAATTGATATTTTATCAGATAACTTATCAGGCAATTTCTGATCTTCTGTAGAACAAATACAAATTTTGGTAGTTTTTTGTAAACATAATGATTTTAGCAAGATAGGGGAAATTTAGTTCTTTGTAGGTGGCAGAAAATGGAAACAAAGATTCTTCTGGAACTTACTGAGGATGCATAGTAGAAGTGAATATATTTGTATTCCACACCTGTCCATTTGTTCAGCATAAACTTTACTCAAGTGCGGCGTGTGAAACTAAGTGTGTTCCTCTGCTTCTCCAGACCCAGAGACTGAAGTAACGGCCTTCTCCTTTGCAGATCTCTTTGATAACTACATGCAGCAGGATGCTCATGAGTTTTTGAATTATTTGTTAAACACTATTGCGGACATCCTGCAGGAAGAGAAAAAACAGGAAAAGCAAAATGGAAAATTAAAAAACGGCAACATGAACGAAACTGCGGAGAATAATAAACCAGAACTCACCTGGGTTCACGAGATTTTTCAGGGAACGCTCACCAATGAGACTCGATGCTTGAACTGTGAAACTGTAAGTACTGGACTCTCACGCAGGTTACGCCTGCATTTTATACAGGCTTTGTTGCATGTGAGTGCAGCGTGGTCTTACCCACCTCGCAGTTGCCTCCAGCGTGTGTGGGCAGGCCCATTTATGAAACTTCTGGAAATGTGTATCCATCCAGGATGTTTCCGTGAACGGAAGCAGAGTAATGAAGGAAACTCTCCTTCGGTGCTGAATTGCTTTGCACTATGATCAAATCAATAGGTTCACCAATTGAACTATTGAATTGGACCTTGACTGGTTCTCTTGAAAAGATTTTGGTCATGATGAGGTCACATGTGGCTTAAAACAGACTCACCACAATTAGAGGGAATCAGTTGTAGTTATGTTGAACTTGAATTTAGAAGACACCTTCGACTCTTATTTTTACAGCAGTTAGCTGGCTCCTTGGGCAGGTCACGGTGCTGTTTCAGGGTTGGGCTTACGTATTTGGATGTGTCTGTTACATGGTAGGCACTTAATGTTAATTGAATTTGAAGACATGTTCTTCAGAGCGTAGTTCAGGATGTTATATTTTCTTGGTATATTTAGTTTAAACTCCATAGGTGGCCTCGCATTTTTCTAGTTAAGAGCCCACCTGTGGAGACAGGCTGTCCAAGTTTGTATGTGGCCCTTCTGTTCAGTGGCTGTGGGGCCCAGTGCCCCAGTGCATATCATTCCTCTTCTCTGTCCTCACTCTCCTCATCATAAAATGAGGGTGATAAGAACGTCCATCTCCTAGGGACGCTGGGAGGATTAAGTGAATTAACACTTGCAGAATATTGAGCAAGTGTGCAGTAGATGTCAGCTATTAATTATTATAACTACTAACAATATAGAAAACCTATAGGCTCATTAGGGCTCGCAGGGTCTTGACATTTTATGAAAAATTATGCATTTTTCTGGAAAGGAAATAACTTTTATCAGATTCTGCAAAAGGCCTGTATCTTAGTCTGGTGAATCTGCTTCAACACAGTATCGTAATGATTGGCTTAGACAACTGAAATTTATTTCTCAAAGTTCTGGAAGCTGTACATCTGAGATGATGTCGGAGTTCTCAGGGACCCCCAGCCTGGGATGGTGGCCAACATGGGAGACACGCCAAAGGAAACAGGAGACTTGACACCAGCTTAGTGTCTGAGAGCCTGAGGGGCAGTCGGGCTTCCCAGGGGTCTTCTGTTGAGCACAGCAACCGAGTAAAGATGCAGGAATGAACGCAGTTAAGGATAAAGAAAGTGGAGCTCAAGGCCCCCAGGAAGGCTGGGTGAAGGGCAGCAGTTGGGTAAGCAGGGCCGTCAGGCAATGGGACATCTGAAACAGCAGATAACGAAGACAGGGAGAAGAGAAGGGGGAAATAGGTTTTGTCCCTTTGAGCTCTCTTCACTTCCCTAATTTAAACTATTGATCAAGAATCTAAAGGTCTTAGCCCACCTGCCCTGCTGAATCCCCATGCGGGGATAGTCCCCGAGACATTGCTCTGCCTGGGCAATCTCCCTGAGTCGGAAGGCCCGGGAAGAATTCAGCCAGCCTGCCCCCCACAGGATGGGGTGTGAGCAGGGTGCAGTTTGGGTGAGGACACCCTCTGGCTGGGTTCTCTCTGGGCAGAGACAGAGGGAGCAGACTCATGTCTGTTTTTATGAGGCCACTGATCCCATCATGAGGCCCCACCTCAAGACCTAATCACCTCTCAGAGGCCTCACCTTCAAATCCCATCACGGTAGGGATAATGGTTTCAACCTGTGAATTTGGGGAGAACACAGACATTCAGTCCATTGTAAGCTGTGACCCAGAAATAGTTAAGAAATGTGGCTTGACACATCAACCTCTATGTAATGGGAGAGGTTATTTGGGTTTTGGCAGTTTTTGTTATGTCTTTTTAAACAGGTTTTGAATCAACATTCTGATTTGCTTATTGCAGGAACAATTAGAATGCATAGCTAAGCAAAAGAGACTAAAAATTACCAGTAATCTTCCCACCCAAAGATGATAAATTTGTAACACTTTCTAAAAATTATGATTACATTAGCCTAAGATACCCACTTGAACATTTTAAAATCTATCCTGCCAGAACATTTTCTGTACATACTTATCTATCTAGAGATCCTCCTTGCCTCCCTTTCTCCCTCTGTTCCTTTATATTCCAGTAAAATTCAAAAGAATACGAAAGTAGAGAGACTATGATGGTAAATGCCATGTGTGTATTTTTCCAGGATCAGTGATTATTAACAACTTGGCTTATCTTGTTCTCCCCTTCAGCGCCCCCGCCCCCCTCATGACATGGATTTATTAAGTCCCAGATAATATATTGCATTTGTAATCTCTTTATTACTTGGTTCTATCTCTCTAACTAGGCAGTCCCCAACTTTTTGGCACCAGGGATCTGGTGCCAAATGGATGACAATTTTTCTGTGGACTGGGGGGAGTAGCGGGGATAGTTCAGATATGTTATATCTCCAACTCAGGTCATCAGGCATAGAGTCTCATAGGAGCACACAACCCAGATCACTCCACGCGCCCCTCCTAGGAGAAGCCAGAGCACACAACCTAGATCACTCCACGCGCCCCTCCTAGGAGAGTCCAGAGCACACAACCTAGATCACTCCACGCGCCCCTCCTAGGAGAGTCCAGAGCACACAACCTAGATCACTCCACGTTCTCCTCCTAGGAGAGTCCAGAGCTGCTGCTGATCTGGCAGGGGGTGGAGCTCTGGCCTTGAGGCCAGTGATGGGCGGGGCTGTGACTGCAGAAGCAGCTCCCGCCTCCCGCTGGACTCCCACTGCGCTGCCTGGTCCTTAGGGCTGGGGCCCACAGCATTAAGAGATGTGAGAATTTTATTTTAAATAAGTTCAATGCCATTATCACACCTACAAACAATTTCTTTAAATCTTTGCCCACTCAGTGTTCACAGTTCTCTGATGATGTCATTTTTTTAGCACTAGGCTAATTCAAATCAGGAGCCAAACGTCCTGAGAGAGGCCATCTTCAAACCCCCAACTCAATATAAGTCTCCTTGTACTGTCTCACAGCACTCTACTTTTTTGTGGTAGCACTTAGTTGTATTTGTATATTTATCTGTATGTATTTTTATATAGTATCTATCTTTCTTACTAAGATGATGAGGACAGGGGAAGTCCTGTCTGTTACTTCTCTCTCTGGTGCCCAAATAATATTACTTGACATATAGTAATTACCCAATAAATAGGTAAGTGGGTGAATAAATGAGAATGTTTATCATGTTTCTTAAGAAGAAAACTGTTTGGAGAAAATATTTCTGCTTATTTCATGAGCTGCAATTGGGGAATAATTCATAGTAAAATCCATAGTCCTGGAAATATTTTTTAAATTAGAAAATATTTTTATAAAAAAGTGTTTGTGTGTGTGTATACAATCTACATACACATTTTAAAGAATAGTTTGAAAACTCTGAAAATATTTTTTAAATTAGAAAATATTTTTATAAAAAAGTGTATGTGTCTGTGTATACAATCTACATATACATTTTAAAGAATAGTTTGAAAACTATTTATGTGCCTGACACCTAGGTTAAGCAGGTTTCCGTAACCCTGAACCCTCTGTGGGCTTCTTTACAATTCAGGGAAGCTTTACCCTCAGTTATGTGGGTAAACACGTGTTTTTCTTTGTAGTTTTACACAGATCTGCGTCTGTTATTTATAGACATTTTTTTACTTCCACATGTTGGTGGCTTTTATGAAGTCATGTGTTTATATTCTTCTGAACTTGCTGTTGTCATTAGATGTTCTATACAGCACATATATGTTTGAGATTCAGCCATTTCTCTGTGTGTGTCATGGTTCATTCATTTTTATCACTTTGTGCTCTGCCATCGTAGGAGTGTACTGCATGGTCTAGGAATATACTACATTGTAGTATGTATTGTAGGGATGTTTTTACTACAGTTTGTTTCTCCATTCTTGTTTGCTGTATTTCATTTTTGGCTTTGTAGACAGTGCTGCCTCAAACCATCTTGTACAAGTCTTCTGCGGTATCCCCTTAGGAGCAGAGTTGCTGGGTCACAGGGCATGCACATTCTCAGGTTTCTAGATGATAGCAAATTATTTCTAAAGTGGTATTAGTTACATTAATAGAGTTTCTGATGTTGGCTCTACATTGTATTTTTATAATAAACTGAACTTGGTATTTCTTTTTTATATACATCATTAGATTTGAGACATGAATTTTGTTTAGGATTTTTGCAGCAGTATTATTGGGATTGGCTTGACCTTTTCCTCCCTTCTACTTGTCTGCTTTCAGAAGCTTTTTTTTTCTTTTGTTTTGAGACAGAGTCTCACTTTGTTGCCCCTAGTAGAGTGCTGTGAGTTCACAGCTCATAGCAACCTCAAACTTTTGGGCTCTAGTGATTCTCTTGTCTCAGCTTCTCGAGTAGCTGGGACTACAAATGCCCGCCACGATGCCCGGCTATTTTTAGAAATGGAGTCTTGCTCTAGTTCAGGCTGATTTGAACTCATGAGCTCAGGTGATCCACCCGCCTCAGCCTCCCAGAGTGCTAGGATTACAGACGTGAGTCACCATGCCCGATCTACTTTTAGAAGCATTCTTATGAAATTGATTTTCTCTTTTCCTTGAAAGAGTTTGGATACATTCTCATCTATTCTTTGAATGTTTGATAGAACTTATGACCTATCTTTGCATCACTTAAAATATGTAGTTCAGTTTGGCTTGATTGTGATATTTATGCAGATGGAATCATAAATATGATGCTTGTGTCTTGTTTTCTCTTGCCTGCTATCCCTCGTGAGATCCCTCTGTCTTGTAGCCTGATGTTTCAGTCCATTCATTTTCATTGCCATATAGTATTCTTTTGCGTGAATATACTCTAAAGTACTAATCTTTTTTTATTGTTAATGGGTATTTGGTTTCTTCCAACTTGGGACAATTATGAATAGTGCTGCTATGAACACTTTAATACATATAATCTAACACACGTAAACCCAGTCTCTCCAGGACATATA